TAACAGGACATGTATATATAGTAGGCACAGTGACTGAGCAGACTAAGAACTTGATATAAATGTTGTGAAATAAATAAAATAAACTTCCTGGGAAAGTTATGAAGGCAGGAAAGGAAGAACCAGGCACATGAGGTCTCCAGAGACCTACCCGGGCCTTAAATGGAGAATTCTGTGTTGGGAAAAGTAGAAAAAAAAAATTAGTCCTTAGAAGACTGTTGGCTGCAATCAAAGTTTACATTCACTTGACAGAGTGATATAAAGCCTGCGATTATTGGAATGAAGTGACCTGTGTCTGAGTGTGGAGCGTGGGCAGGAAAGACAATGGGAAAGCTGAGGACAGTGAGAGGGAGAGCTGGGGAGGCCATTTCTTATTTCTCTCTTTACACCCCCGATTTGCTCATGTGTTTTTAGGACACCTCAGATTCCTTTTGAAAGTAGGAGATAAAATACTTTTTTGTTAAGTAAAAAAAAGTCCAGGTAATAAATAAAATCAGAAAGTCCTGGGCAAAGGGATCATGGACTGAAGAGGAGGTGATTTAGGAACACCAAGGTAGCACTAATGCTCAGGTTGCACACTGACCAAGTGTGGGGGTGCAGCACGCACCTCATCTGCAGGTATTGGGCTCAAGGAAAGGAGTTATAGACAAATTCACCATAGCGGTAGATGAGCAGAGACTCTGAATACATCTGTGAAAGCATTTTACTTTTCCTTTAAGTAGAGATGTTTTCAAAATAGTGGGTGATATGATGGTATGAGATTAGATGGAAACAGAAAAGAGGAGAGGGGAGTACATGAAGAATTATTTTAATGTTGGGATGGCTTTGTCCACTGCAGCGAACATCCAGAGATGCAGTGACTACCATCTGCCACTGAAAAAGAACCATCGATGGAAGTACTGTTTTCAATGATAACTCCTGGTAGCAGTAAAAATATGTTTTTAAATTAAATTTGGAATTTTCCTCTTCAATGCTGCTTCTTCAAAGACAAATGAGCCTCTTACAGTATGTCTAGTTAAATAAAATAATGGATGTGAAAGGCTTTACAAAACATTAATGTGCTATACAAATGGAATGTGTTATCATTGTGTACTGTGTACTAAAAATCATGCAGTAAAACGATATTATTTTTGTGGACTAAATAGTCAAATATGGGCTGCATGACAGCACTGTGAAGTGAAGTCATAATTGATGAACGACTGTGCCCAGGGAGGGTTGATTTATGTACGGATGCTAACCTGGAAGAATACCTTTGGTGTAATGTTAAAGGGTTTTTGTCTTGTTTTCTTTCTTTGCCCTTTTCTCACTTAAATGTTTTCCAGTCAGTTAAAAGCATACTTATCAAATTTAATGATAAGACTAGTGTGGGGGAGCTAACTAACATATATCAACCTTAGAAAGTATACTGCTCTATGAATAAACCAAACTTCACATAGGCTAGTAACTTGCCCTAGACCACTCATTTAATAGTAGATGGTATTCTGTGAGTAACCTAAGACTAGTTACTTGCCCAGTAGAGTGGCAGAGAGCTGGAATTTGGAACTAGGCAACCTGAGTCTAGAGAATGTGCATCTAAACCACTTTGCCTAATTATTCATTCATTTGCTTAACAAACACAAAACGCTCACACTTACTCGAGAAACTGATCTAAGCATTATACAACTTACTCCTTGTAACAACCCTATAAGGTAGATACTATTATTATTTTCATTTCATTATGGCTTAGAAACTGAGGCACAAGGAAGTTAAATACTGTCCCCAAGGTCACATAGCTAGTAAGCAGATTGAAACATGGGCAGTTGGGCTGGGGTGTCCATTCCTCTGAGCACCATGTTATACCACCTCTGCTCTATGCTATGCTCCTTTCAATAATATGCCCAGCTTCACACAGCCAGATCTGAGGTGATCCTGCCCTCTCCTTATACCCTAGGAACCAGGGAGTCTTTGAGGTTTCAAAGGAAGCAGTGAGCATGTATGATTCAGTTGATGCTCTTTTGACCTACCTTGGAGCATCCACGCCTGAAGGCATCTTTTGTGATGCCACCAATTCAATCCTAGACTCTTAAATCCTCATCTTTGGTTCTTACTGCCAGATAGCATTCCCTCCTGCATAAAATACATCCTTATTCTCATTACATCTCCCCATAAAACTTTCATCAATTTGAAAATTGTAAAATGCATTCCTTTTTATGCAGACATTTAATCTATGGTTAAATGACAATTGAGCAATATATCCTCCTGCATACCCAAATACCATCCCAACTTGGCAATTTGAAAATAAATTGACGATCTTAAAGTTGGCATAGGTTTTAAGGAAATAGAATATTCTCAACCATAGACTTTAGAGGATGCTTATCTGTAAAACAAATTACAGGGCACACTTTGGCTTGAGTAACACATTGCACTTAAGAGAGGTTTCAGATAGAACCACCAGCTTAGCAAATCTGATTTTAATTTGTCTATGGACAAGACACTACGTTCCTTTCTTATGTGCATGGATGAAACCAGACCTTTCAACCTCTCAGCCTTTCAAACTCTCACTTTCAGAAACACTGAAGTTTAAAATATAAAGGTGTTGTTTTTGCTTCACACCCAAATGTCAGAGTTAGATTTTCTGATTTCTTTTGATTGGCTCCAGGTGATGTTAAGTGCAATGCAGAAAATTATCAAAATCAATCTATCTTCAAAGGCTTTCTTTGAAATTATAGGATCTGAATCAAAAGGTGAAATAACAGTATTTTTATTCAAAGTTCTCTTCCATGATTTTCATAGCTCTTGCTCTACTAAGGAGCAAGTAAAATTGGTAAAATAATTTTTTTTCCCTCTTGAAAGGTGATTGTTAGGGCCTTAATATTTTCCATAGAAATCCAGTATTTCTTAAGCATCTGACTCTTGCTTACTGGATTTTTAAAGGATTTAATTACCAACTTCAACACATCAGCAAAGTGACTCACATTACGTATTAACAGTAAATGTAGTACATGAATCATAGCCAAAGAATTCTGCTAACACTGGGAACCATAATACATAACCAACTATAGTCATTCAAAAGTTGAAGTATTAAAGCCTGTTACCGGAGAACTTCCAAGCACTGGAAGACCAATGGTCCTGATCAAAAGTCAAATCCAGTAGAAAATTGGCATATTCTAGAAAGCAAAACAACATCCAGAGTAATCAAAAATACAATGCTGAAGGTATTGGTTATGTCTTGCTACACAAAATGTGATTGGCAGACTAACAACATTGACTTTTACCCACAAGTTTATTAAAAATGCAGAATTCCATGCTACATCCCAGACCCTCTGAAGCAGAATCTAATTTTTAGCAGGATCTTCAGGTGATTCACGGGCACATTAAAGTTTGGAAAGCAGCACTTTAAAGTATTTTTGTTAACGGAATTATGTGAATAATTGCTGTTTTCCAAAAACAATGTCATACTCAGAGGTAATGGTCATCCTTATTTTACAATGGGGCTATCATCACAGTGGGAAAAAATTCTCATACTCTAGTGCTTGGGAAAGATAATAACTGATATAGAATTATTTTTCCTGAAGGAGCCAAAGCAGTTATAGGGGAAGGAATAGCAGCTCATCACTTTCAGTAACAACAAATGCCAGCTTGACCTGCATTGTTATTTCACCTTGCACTTCTCATCACATTATGCTGGTGGATTCTTTTCCTTCCTTTCTTATTTTTGAGTCAGAGGAAGAAACTGACCTAGAGGTTGCTGCAGGCATTTAGAAATATGGTTTTCTTTATCAGTTCCATTCGATCTGCTGCAGCAGGTCTTACCTGAGTGATTTTAAGAGTTTATCAATCATGTGACTGTTGAGATACCCAAGCCATGATGCAAGTACCTCTCCCATGACATGATAACTTGTGTTCATAATAAAATGAAACTGTGATAGGAGATGTGAAACAAAGAGAAATCAGAGTGGTACCATGAAGGTACGAGGGAGAAGATGAGGGAGCCAGGACTAAGTGAGGAGAGCTGTATCCATAAGTCACCTGGAAGGTTGTGGAGCAAACAGATCATTAGGCAGCACTAGTGATAGGGAGAAAATGGCCATCAGTCACTCCCTGTTCTTTCTTTGCTGCCTAAAAGCACAGATAACACCACACATTTTATTCCCTTGAAGAATTCTGTCTTGGAGAAGGTTTATGGTGAATTTACCAGGAAAGAAGAAAAGAAGTGGCTGGTTTTTTGTTTTTGTTTTTGTTTTTTTTTTTTAGGCTTAGCATCAGTCTTTAATGCTGTCGTGAGGCATTGACAAGTCACACCCTTTGGTCTCATGTTGGCAGAGGCTACTTACAATGAGTCTAAAGGTCTCAGCGCAAGACTGGCCTCCAGGGAACAGATATTTGTTCCAACTCCCCCTCCCTCCCCAAGATTTCCTCGGAATTCCATTATGGCCCTATATGGAGAGCAGTGGCTGTTAGGGACAGGTTTTATTTGAGTGTGCACCAACTATACATGGAATTAGAAAAACATATTTACAGACGTTCCACAGTGCTCCTGCAACCAGAAGCAAAGACCCTTTTATGAACAGGGATTATATCTAGGGCTGTGCAAAATTCAAAAGGATCAGATCCCTTTAAAGAGTCCATAGTCCATGAAACAAAAAATTACCTGGGCCACTGGTAAGCCCCAGGTGTGCCAAGATTGCCTTACAGAAATGGAAAGACTGTGACCCGCAAAGTGAGGACATTCAGCTTCACTAGAGCCAGAGGTCAGGAGGGCCCTTGCTGGGTCCAGGCTCCCAGACCCTCAAGGGAGAGGTAGCTGCACTTACTGGAGTCACTCACCGGAGGCTGGCTCCCTTGGTGCTGCTGGGACAAGAGGTATTGCTTGTGGGTGCCAGCCAGGCAGTTCTGCAGGAATAGTTTAGGTTCTCAATTTGAGATGGCCAAAGAGAAGACAGAATTCTTCAAGGGAAGAGCAAGACATGGGAGACAAATACAGAATAAACTAAGAAGTGATCAGAACAGAACCGGAGGAGTGTACAGGGTCTGGGAACCAAGACAGCAGGTCGACATTATCTACCAGCCAGAAGCAAAGGGACACAGAAGGATCAAGTCCAGCTGCTGGTCTGCCTCTCGCCCCTGAACAGGGACTGGAGTAGGAGGATGTGGGCCCATCCCGGGAGGGCTGCCGGACCCAGTGGGGCAGACTGGAATGCCTTTTCCTGCTGTTCCCACCACCTGATGCCCTATCGCTTGAAAAACCACTTAAGTCTAGTGTATGACTTTGAAAGATTGTAATATATGCTCTGGAAAACATTCAGTAGTACAAAAGCCCTCCCTGGGTGCTTGCGTCCTCTCATGGTCCACAACTGGTAGAAAGGTCCAGAAATCGTTGAGCTCTGGAAAGGTCCCAGGTCAGTCCTTGGGGAGCTAAGGTAGCTATATTGGAAGAATCTGCTCAAGTAGGGTTCTTGATATCTGGGGAATTCTTTCAGGGAAGATCTCTTCCAATTCAATAATGAGGTCCCCACGTTTCTCCGGCGTTTTGGGGAGGCAGAGGCCTTCTCCAGGAACTTTTCGCAGTGTGCCAGGCCTGATGACATCTTTGAATACGATGGGTATGGTCCTGCCGTCCAGACTGGGGACGTTCACTGTGCAGCCACACAGAGTCTCCCGGGGGCGGATCCTGGAAGGATAAATCACATCAGAGCCATCTCTCTTAAAGATATTGTGTGGTTTGTCCTTTAAAACAAAGACGATCTCAGCTGGAATGTTGTTGGAGGTTTAGTCTCCTTCCTTGGGGAAGGTGATTTTGGTTCCTTCTTTCCACCCCTTCTTCACTTCGATGGTCAAGATTTTGTCTTCGTTTTGAGTGCTCTTTCCATCGGGGTTTAGCCGCTTGTGGGGGATTTTCATCTTTTTGTGACAACCGCTGTAGATCTCTTCAAGGGAGACTCGAAGGTCGTGGGTGACTGGGGGATCTTGCTTCTTTCGGGTGGGCTCTTGGACAGGGCGGGAGCGGCCAAAGTTCATGCCGGTGAAGCCACCCATGCCCATAGGGAACCCAGAGAATGGGTCAGCAATGTCCACGCCTTCCTCCTCGTTCCGCTGCCCAAAAAAGGTATCGAAGGGATTTCTGCCACCGAAGAACTCAGCAAACATGGCATGAGGGTCTCCATGGAATGTGTAGCTGAAAGAGGTATCACTGGCACCGCCGTCGCTACCGCCACTGGGGCCGCTGCCCTTTAGGCCTTCCTCCCCGTAGTGGTCAAGATCTGGCACGTGCGCGGGTCTCGGAGCACGTCGTAGGCCTCGGCGATCTCCTTGAACTTCTCCTCGGCGCCGGGCTCCTTGTTCTTGTACGGGTGGTAGCGCAGCGTCTGGCCGCTGTAGGCCCGCTTGACCTCCTCGTCCGAGGCGCCTCGGGCCAGGTCCAGCGTCTGGTAATAGTCTTTGCCAGTGGCCCCGGCCTGCGGCCCGCCCAGCCTTTGTCGCCGTCCCCCGGCTCCGCCGCCGCCCGGTCCCGGACTCTGTATACTCATCCGGCCAGCAGTGGCTGTTATACAGAGAGATCACATTCCTTCTTTAATGGTTAATGGTAGTTATAGGAACAGAGGAGTGCAGTTGGCTTTTTAACCTGAGTTCTCATTTTAGCTGTGACTGGAGAGAACTGCAGTTTCAAAGCCCTGGGTGAGAATGTCCATAGCGACAATGTCACTAATGCTATAGTCAAATCAGCTGTAACACCATTGCAATCATTTCTTGTCCTGCTTGCAGAGGTTAACATTATAGCTGGGACTTCAGAGGAATCGCAGTTAACTTTGATAGTTGTACATTTTGAATATTATGATTGTCAGGGTCAAACTAACTTGCAGCTATGTAAGCTAAACTTTGTAAATAAAGAATTCAAACTAAGAATAAGCACTCTACGAATGGTGTTTTAAACCTTTTCTTGCCCTTAGAAGATTCACATTCACAACTTACTCCTCCTTCATGCCGCCATCATCTCTTTTCCGCACTGTTCTTGTCTGTCCTGTTGCTGTGGTCTTCTCATTGGTCTCTCAGCTTCCATGCTTACCATCTCTTGTCTATCTTTTACACAGCAGTTATAGTACTCATCTCAAAATGCAGTTTGGTCATGCCACTTCTCTGCTCTAAACCCTCCAGAGTGTTCTTATCTGATTCAAAGGAAATCCCGAATTCTAACTCTGTCAGACAAGCCCTGAGAATATGGCAGGACACCCTCCGCCTGGGCCAACTCTCTGGTATCCATCTCCTGCCTCCTTCACCTTTGCCCAGCCATCCTGGCCCTCTCTTTCCCCACCCATACTAGACAGGTCTTGCCTCAGGGTCTCTGCTTGGATTGTAAGTCTCAAAGATACACACTTAATGTACCCTTCACTTACTTTAGGTGTCTGCTCAAAAGTTACCTTATCAGCCAGGTGCAGTGGCTCAGTCCTGTAATTGCAGGACTTTGGGAGGCCAAGGTGGAAGGATGGCTTGAGCCCAGGAACTTGAGACCAGCTTGGGCAACATAGTGAGACCCTTTCTCTACAAAAAATAGAAAAATAAGCTGGACGTGGTGGCCTGTGCCTGTAGTCCCAGTTACTTGGGAGGCTGAGGCAGAAGGGATCGCCTGAATCTGGCAGGTGGAGGCTGCAGTGATCTATGATTGTGCCACTGCACTGCACTCCAGCCTGGGCGACAGAGTGAGACCCTATTTCAAAAAACAAAGTTATTTTATTGAGGAAATTCCTCTGAACCCTTCCTATAACCCCTATCCTTACTTAATTTTAAACCATGTAATACACTACATTTTTTTAAATCAATGTTTGTCTTCCCCAGCTAGAATATAACTCTGTGAGAGTGGAGATCTTGTTTTGTTCACTTCTGTCTTCTCAGTGCTCCAGAGTGCCAGATATACACTAAGAGAATTGCTCACTTAGTATTTGTGAATAGATGATTTTCGAGGCTTGTTTGTGCACCTGGTACTCTGGCCATTTACTCACTCTCCTCGGCTCACAGGCACTTTTCTACTTTTGTTGAGATTCTTCCTCTGTTCCTTTCTACTTCCTCAAAGCTGCATGTTCAAGTATCAGCTTTGCTTCAGGTCTCACCTGAAACCTTCCTTCATTCTATTCTCAAAGCTGAACATGCCTCTCCTCTGGTGCCCCCAGGACTGTCCGTGTTCCCTGTGTCTCTGTCTTGTACTAGAATGATTCCTCTTCATGAACAGGAAGCTTCCAAAGGTGGAACCCTGTCTGATTTATCTTTAGCCCCTGACACCCCCATCTCCACCCCACCTCCACCCCACCTCTCCCCATCCCACAAAATCTACTTCTTTTATACAAAGAAGATACTGAATGAACATTTGGTCAATAAATATTGCTAAATAGATTTGCCTTACTGTGACAATGTTGATGTGACAGTACAGCACTTGGATAAGCAATGGTAGTCCAAGCATAATTCTGTGTTTTCCTTTTTCCCACCAAATTTGCCCTGGATGGCTTTTTGGTTTGGGGTTTTGTGTGTGAGGGGAGTAGAAAAAAAGTTGCGGAAAAAAGTTGCTCCTGGATGTTACCATTTTGCTTTATTTTAGTAAGTGCTGAAAGAGAACACATTCATACAGAAGACAAACTACCTCGTAATCAGAATGTCCGTTGTCTGCCCAGCTGTCTCAATCCAGGTTGGGTTCGTAACCAAGGAAAAGGTTTCTATTACAGAGAATTCTGTTAGCATCCTTCACTGCCTGAAAAAACTTTTCCCTTACCTTTCTGATGGAACCGTTTCCTATATCCTAGTAGGGAGAATCAAGAGCAAGAAGTAGCTGTGCTTAGAAGTAGATACCTTTTTAAAACTCTGATTTCTCTTAGCATGAGTTTTCAACTCCAAACTGTCAAGATTTTGCATTAGAGGTTCACAGTGGACTTCTCTGTGGAACAGCTGGTCTAATTGGACAAGTTTTGCTGTGGTGACATTAGGGCTCATTAGGCTTTCTCTTATCAGTGGTATAAGCTGTGAGATTTCCACCAAGCAGAGGGTTTAGGTTCTAAATGAGAAATATAGATTAGCATTTCACATAATGAAATAATGGACTTCAGTGTTACCTTTCTAGTGACAAAAGCAGGAACTTAAATCCATTGCAGGGTTCCTTGTTTAATCAATAAATAAACGAGAGACACAGAAGATTTATTTCTTCTGTGGCAACGAACACCATCATTTTTCTTAATTATCCTTAGGTTTGCTTTTCCTGCTTTTAGATTGTTTGCAAGTAAAAAACTCCCTACACTAAGAAAGGGACATCAGACCTCATTTTTTTTCTCCACCTCTTTCACACATATAGAGAGTTTTGCTTTTTTGCTGCAAGTCTTATGTTTCTTAATGAAAACCTAATAAAGTCAAAGGTTTCACAAGGTTGTCCAGGATGCCTTAAAGACCAGAGGATCCAGCTGAGGAGGGAAATATCAAGGCAGATGTAGGAGAGAAAACAAATAGTTTGAACTTTGGATCCACAGATGGTTATGCCTGCCAACTGTTATGAGCCAATGAATATCTGGCCTATCATTTGTCATATTTATTGCAGTACATAATGCTGTAATTTCTCATGGCATGGTTATTTATCTTGCTGTGTTCTCTGAACAGCTAAAATTGCAGCCATGTTGAAGCATATGTATACCTTTTGGGTTTCATCTTTAAATAGCAGTCATGCAAATTGGCACAGGCCTGCCCATCCAAGGACTGGGATTATAAATGTTGCAAAAGCAATGAGTTGTCAGATTATGGAAAATTCTGACAATAATTGAAACTATGCTCCCAGTCTTTTTCCTGTGTGCTTAACTATAGAGATTAAGGGAAGCAGAAGCTCTCCCCTGCAGTTTGTTTTCTTTCCAAGGTGCCAGGGTGGCTTCCTGAAGCAGTGGCTGCTAGAGCTGTGAATGCTCTATCTGGAGGCCTCTCTGGAGCATGCAGAGACCTGTCCAATTTCACAGTAAGGAAATGGGCTCTGGAAAGAGAGGAGTTTGAGGATGGGAGGAAGAAGGCATGAGGTAGACTCAGTCACTGATTTCTGACAGCAGTCATGGGGGCATTGTGACATCAAAAGGAGCAGCAGGAACACCTGTCTTTACTGGCACCTCTGCGATTGGCAGTGGTGAGTCGTGAGCAGAGGCCACACGATGCCTTGTGACAGAAGGTATGACTCACAGGTGGGCAGAGTCTTCAGGGCACTGTTGCTCACCTGGCACATCTCGTTATCCAGAATGAATCATTGGGTCCAAATGAGCCTTGGAGTTGGGGCAAATTTGCATGCACATTGAGGCCTCAGTGGATGGCAGATGTGAAAATGTGGGTGCCTCCCATCCATACTGGATTAGCTGCATTCATTTCCTGGAGTGTAGAAACTCGCACTCTGTTGCAGGCCCCTCTGCTGTTGATGATGAAGGGCCTGGTGGGCATTCAGACTCCTGAGAACACAGGCAACTTCGAATCTCACTTTAGCCATTGGTTTTCCTCACAATGGGTTCAATCAGAAATATTAACACTTATTATTCCAAAGCGTTCTGAGAGCGCTCTCTTCTTTCTTTTCCTGCAAGGCAATGAAATGGGCCTGCAATGTTTAGCAGAAGACAGAAGAGATCCTGAAATCATTCTCATTATTATTAGGGCTAACTTTAAAAGTCTGAAGGTTAAGGCATCAAAACCCTTAAGCCCTGGCTTAACCACTTTAGTCTCACCTCTTACCACCTTTAAGTTCCTAGAATGGATGAAGGTCCCTTCTGCCTCAGGACTCTGCACAGCCAAGACCCTAACCGGCAAGATAGCTCTGGAGAAAAAAGAAGGCGCTAAAAATGTAACCCTGATGGTATAATTCTAAATTGTCCCCTTTCCTCATGAAATAAAAAGAGTGGACTCTATGGAGTCTCTAAAGTTGGCTGAGGACCAACCACTTGGGTTGTCTTAAGTTTAAAAGGCTGTGCTCAGAGAAAGAAAAGATGGGCAGATGACCTAGTACAAACATGAAATACACGCAGGAACCTGCATGAAGAGAGGCAGAAAGGTTAAGACTCAGAGAGAACAGAGACTTTTGAAAAAAATACCAAAGAGGACAAGAGGCTTTTAAAATGATCTGCAGTGCTTAGTGCTTGTGGCAGTACAAGGTCAATGGACAACAACAAAAAAAGCCACTATTTTGAGTCCTCTTTTGCATCTGTCTCCTAGGTTAGACAGAATGCTTTTAAGACTAGGAAGAGAGGAAGAATAATTGGTAAGGGAACTGGAAGGTCAAGATAAGTAAAAAGATCATCAGAGAGCCCTGCTCAGATTTTTAAGTCTAGACACCTATGTCCACTTCCTAGGGAGACACGAATCACTGTGGATAGTACTTGAGGGAGCAGAGACATTGGGGGAAATGCAAGCTGCTGTGAATTGAACAAATGTCCCCATTTTCAAGAAAGGAGAGTGTATTATTAAACAAATGATTTGTGTACATTTGAAAAGTAAGCAAAGTTGGGAATGAGTACTATAGTCATGGAAGATGGTTGCA